ACGCAAGGTGGTAAGATTGACGAGAAACGTCTCACACATAGACTTGTAATAGATGAAGGTGAACTCGATTTCTTGATCAAAGATTGTACTGATGCCGGAACTTTTGCCGGAAGAGAAAAATGTCCACTTGGATTCATACTTACATATTACGAGGGACATCAGCCACAATATACGCATTTACGAGCTTCTATGTTAGCATACGCGCATATTAATTTGTTAGAGATGCTTCGGAGATTTGATCCTAATGAAGTAGTAAGGATTGCCACAGATTCTATATATGTACGAAAAGAGGCTTTATATAAGATCGAAAATATACCGGCATTCTTCAAGCAAGTTGAGGTAAAGTCAGATCGAAATTTATGTACACATCGTCCTTCTTGTGCAATGTGTAGCGATCCAGAAGAATTGCTTATATTTTCAAAATCAGAATACGCAAAATGGATTAAAGAGTTTCTAAAAACAAAAAGGCCTCTAGTAAAATATGATTGCAAAAGACATAAACCATTTATTTGCAGATTTTGTTTTGGGGAATGGTTTTATAGACCAGACTCCTATGCTCTTTCACATCAACCAGAAGAACAAGAAATTCAGGAAATTCAACCTGGTCAATGGCGTGATAAGGGTGAAAAAATATATGGACCAGTTGCCGATATTGTATACTGGCCAAAAGATAGACATTGTGAATCGATCAAAGATATTCCTGATAGTACAGCACCCTCGATTCATGATCCTATTACAAGGTATCGAAATTCTTATCTCAATGGAGGAGGCGGATCTGGTAAAACAACACGTGGAATTCGAGTCTATCAAAGTGTAAGTATGATTGTCTTTACACATACAAATGCATTAGCTAAAGATTTTCGAGATAAGCGTGGTGTGAGAGCCCAAACCTGGCATAGTTTCTTTAGATGGAATGGCGTAGGAGAGTGGACACCTGAACGTATGGGAGAGAAGAAATTTCCACGAGTTGTTATTTGGGATGAGGTATGTACAGTTCCTAAGCATATTCTTGAAATGTTTATCGATTATTTACTAGAACAGAAATGTCAAGTAATCTGCTGTGGAGATGATGCACAACCTCCGCCATTCTTCGGAGAAATGCCACATAATTGGTTAAAAGAGCACGCCGATTATTATGAAGAAGTCTTAACTGATTATCGCGCAAAATGCCCCAAATTACGTGAACTCAAAAAAGGCATGCGTCGCAAAAATAATCGAATACAATCAAAGTTATTTCGAGGAATTCTCCCGACTATAGAA